TTATAGCAGTCCAACAACCTATCGTCATCGATCAGCTAAACAGAACTAAAGATGAGTATTCTTTTCTGCTTTAACAAAGTTTTTTCATTTTTAAGAACAAAAAAAAAGAAGTGACAAAGCCTGTTTGTCTATTTGTTTGTTCGTCAATTTGTTGGGTGTTTTAGGTCTTAATGTATATCTGTTAAAAAAAAACCACTGAATAACATAAAACGGAAGCTAACATCCACTACCGTAATTAATTTCACTAAAATTCTTTCCAGTTTTCGATTTTCAGCTTTTGCATTAGTCACCGACGCTTTAGCCTCTATCGAAAAAAAAAAGCTTCTTCATCGCTATTCATTTTAAAGCAGTAATTTGGTTAACAGCTCCTTCCTCTCCTTCCACTTTTACGCTACTCTTTTTCACGCATTTGCAGAATTCAATATGTAGCTGACACTGACCATCGTATTAATTCAATAATTTTCTATTAGAAATAAAAAAAAAGAAAGAAAAGAAATATAGGAAAAAAGAACAGCAGTATTTATAATTAAAATAGTCACAAAGCATGTACGCATTTTGTTGCCTTCTTTCTTCTTTTTGAATATTTAAGACAGCATAATCATTCAATAGAAAGAAAAATTTCTTTGAACTAAATTTCTGGAATTGAACGCAATTTTTGTAAAAAACAGATGCTTTTTTTTGTTTCCGGTTTAGAAGACAAAAGAACACAAAAAATTTATTCTGCAACAGCAGTAAAAAAAGTATCCGTCGTAAAAACAATTAAAATCTTCAATGTTATTGCATTAAAATAATAACTATTTCTCCGATCTATTTATTTATTTAATTATATTCTCATGATTCCTACTTTATTCTGTATATTTTTCATTTGAAGCTTTTTAATCTTTTTTGTTTCACTAATAATTTATGCTTTTATTTGATTATAGTACTATTATCATTAATGCTTCCATAATTTTTTTTTTCACTTAATTTGAAAAGCTCTTGAATAACAATATTTTCAATAATAAATTTATATTTTCTAATTCTAGGAATAACTTTTTCCAAAGCTTTTCAATCTTCTTAATTGTTCATTCCTTAAAGTTAAAAACCTTTTTGCAGCAATCAGATTGCATCAAATTTGATCAGAAAGAATCTTTTTATCTTCTTTTTAGAAATAAATGTTCCTTCCATAAATTAAAAACATATTTCTGTTTTGAAAACTGTTCAGTTTTTACAGTTAAATAAAAAAAATAATTTTTTTTTTTTATCGACAAAACTATTTGCCTTAAAATACCATAAATAGGGCATAGAAAGCTTACCGGTTATGACAAAGAAATATTATTAAAAAAAGGTAAGATAAGCATCCTGCCGATGTTAGCTGACTACTGCTGTCTCTCCTATCTTGGCACTAGGTCACCTTAACCTGGGATAATCTACTTTAAAATGCTAAGACAAACTTCCATGACGCTGCCAGTTTCTTGAGCGAAGCTCAGATTTACAAGCTGGTTATCCAGCATCTTACCAAGTGTTATATACAGCCCACAATATTTTCATTAGAAACTGGCAGTATGACAGAAAACATCCCCAGCCACGTTTAACAGGAAAAAAAAAACACTTCAAAACAAATAACTTCAGATGTAAAAAACTTCACAAAAAGTACTAAAAGAATTTTGCTGTATTGACTGAAGTAAACATCGAGGCTTTTATTTAAGAAAGTCAACTTTTTATTATCTACTCGTCTTTCAAAATTATTAGAACTTTTAATTAATGAATACAAATAATATGTCAATTCGACTAAGCCATAAAGAATAAAATTTAATTGAAAAAAGTAAAAACTAACAGAAAAAGAGAGGTGCAATATAACTTATAACTTTAAAATTTCAAAAATTAATGATATTACTTTACTATATTTGAAAAATAACCCTGCAAATAAATTTTGCTTAAACATACCATACAAATTAAAAACTACGTTGAAATTAGAGTGAGAAATTAAGAAGGTAAAAAACCGTAAAAAAATTGCTTTTTGATTCGGACGGTTTCTACATTTAGTCATTCAGAATTTGTTTTTGAATTACATGAGACTAGTAGGGTGAGGATTGCTAAAGAAATAAACAAGACATTTTTCAAAAGCATTTACTAGAAATCTGCGTAAAGTAACTCCTGTATAATTATAACGTATATTTTTGTTTAGTGCTTAAAAAGAGACGAAAAAGAAAGATTTTTCCTTTAAAAATTTACCCGCAAGAAGGTTAACGATTTGTTTAGCAGTCATCCATACCAATAAAGTAAGTTAAAAAGCAGTGTTTGTAGACTACAAGAAATTTATTAAAAACAAATATTACTGCTCAAAGAAAAGTAATTCAGAGTGAAAAGAGCGAAAACAAGAAAGCACAGAAGAAAAAAAATGCAGTAAAAAAAAATAGTTTGTCGCGAAAACCTTAAAACAACGTTCTGACTATCGATATTTGTGTCTTCGACCGAGATAAAGACACCATGGGTAAGCGTTGAGATCAAAGTAGAATTATGTTATTTTTGTAAAAGATGATAAGCTTCAGAAATGACAAGCTACTTTTTCTACTTCTTGTCATTTTTCAAAATTCCGACTCAATTTCAGTGAAGTTTCTGTCATTTAGCACGGTCAATAAATAAACTGTTGTAGACAAGTAGTTGTCAAA